GCAGTCTGAGCTACAGTAGCTTGTCCACAAGGGTCAGCCCTCGCTCCCCACGTGCATCAGTGAGCCTCGGCCCCGCATGACCTTGTTTCTAGATAACCGCTTTTCCTTCCTTGGACCACTTTTGATATTGACAACTTTGAGTTTATGTTTATGCAAAAACATTGCTGGTGTAGGAGCAGTTCCAGTTTGGGAACCACTGATTTAAACTGTATATAAATTAACACCACAAGTAGGTATAACAGTAAAATGCCGCTCAGTATTAATAATGTTATTCATTATAATATGTCAGTCAGAGGAGCAGATTTTCTGCAGAATGACTACCTTTCATTTTTTATACTTTACATTTAATAACTAACTTTTGCAGATTGCAGTCACAAACATTGTGTGCTGATGCCCACGCATGACCTCCATGACCTTGAAAATCGGTTATCACGGCAAAACTAGGGTCATAAAACCAATCAATATTTGATGTTTGTTTTAAAGGGATAGTCAATCAATTTTACACTTAAACATCGGTTTACTACTACTACTACTACTATTACTACAAGTACAACAGAGCCTGTAAGAACAGGTTTCTGGGATAGATTTGTTCAGTGAGAGCCCCTGGAGATGTTACTGTATCTCACCTCTGTCCTTGGAGACAACAAATTAACAGAAAGTCTCCGTACAAACCGGGGCCTTTGAAAGAGGTGGGTGTTTACCAGGCAGGGAGGGTTTTGTGAAAAGATGCTCGAGTTGCCTTGAGTTCTTGGGTGTAAAAGTGAGGATATCTCAGCCTCTGCTCATTCAGTTCTCACAAGTCTCTTTACCTTTAACTTACTGGAAGTGAAACACTAAGTAAATTGCTAGAAAGGTCATTTAAAGATTAAAAAATGTTCACCACTAAAGAGAAAGAAGGGTAAAGGTGGATATCCAAACTCAAGTGTCACAGGGTGACAAGAAGCTGTCTGTGAGGACCACGGCTGAACTGAATACAAGTCTACACTACTCAGTCCAGGTCACATTGCAACATTGCGTCATTTAGGAGAATGAATGGAGAGTGGTGCATGGTGGGATAGCCTGTGGTCCCTGGATCGATGAGGGGAAAAGTGGGACGCTGATGGTGATGGTAGCCACCCTACTGGTATGTGAGCCCGCTCCACTGGTTTATTTATACATCTGCTGAGGCCTGACAGTTACCAGCTGTCTCACATGCAGCCTCAGCCACTGCTATATATACTCTATATCTATATATGTGATAGACTTATATATACGCCTGATAATGTTGCCCCCATGTGGCCTTGCCAACACAGCACACTCAAAAACTGCGTTTCCACCGCAGGAACTTTCCCCAGGGACCAGGCACTTGTTTCCACTGCAGGGACTAGGGTCTAAATTAAGATCCAGGGACATTGTTATGTAACACTTTATTTGAATAGTCCACCCACAGATAGTTTATAGAGTATTTGTAACATTTCAACTGTTCACTTTAGCCTAACCCTAACCTTAGCCTATAACCCTAAACCTAACCCTAGCCTGTAAACCTTCACGAACATACCCTAACCAAGATGTTTTTGCACCTAAACCTTACAAAAACTAATAAGCTGTTGAAATGTTATAAATACTCTCTAAACTATCTTAAGGCAGACTATCCAAGTAAGATCTTACCAATTATTTTAAACTTCTAAAATTTCCAAAGCAAAGGGCCACAGGTCAGATTCGAACC